AAGGCTCTGAGCTGAGCATTTTTGATGGGTATCTGAAAGTTAATTTTACAGTTATGCTGACGACTGCTGTGCCTCACCGTTGCATTGTTGGAAATGTAGTATTGGTGCGTGTAAAAGATCTGCGGGCTGCCGGCTTGCTGCGGTCTGCGGGCCAGTTCTAATAATAAATCAAGGTCATCCCAGGGGCTGTAAAAAACCTTCTCGCGGGCCGGATCTGGCCCGCGGGCCTTGACTCTGACATATGTGAGCTATTGCATACATAACAATGTTGAATACATCTTTTTGTGTATTTAACTAGCCAAACAAAGATGAAACCAATCAAGAGCAAATCAGCCAGATCTAATCTCTGGTGCATATTTACTTTTAATGACACATTACCTGGTTACCATAGGTGATTTAGTCAATCACCTAAACCTCCCTATTGAACAGTTAGAGGTCTGTGGAAGTAGTTTAACAAGCTTTAAGGCATTGTAAAGCAGATGTTCTCATCTCTTATAGAATCTGGATTTAACCCAGTTTTTAAGCTTATAAAACTCTGAGCGAAACTGTGGGTTCACTGCAGCATATATTATCGGGTCACTAAGTGATGTGATGCAGGAAACAGACACTGACAGGATCTCAATCCCTTGAAGAAAGGGCATCTGAAAAAAGCAAAGAGGTACAAAATTGTTTAGAGCTACAGCTTTGTTTCACACGTTAGGATGCACTGGCAGAATGATCCAAATATTCCTTTCACTCCCAAATTTGCATGTTAATTTCTCCTGAGCATGTAGTATAGGTAGCACAGCGACTCACCTGTGTATCAGTGTTTTTGTGAAGAAAAAAACTGAGAAGGATGATTGTGATTAAGGGAAGCCAGAATAGGAGAAATGATATGATGATATAGCCGGCACGTTTGGCCATTTTAGTCTCCTTCTTTTTTCTCGCTCTCTCCTTGCTTGCCTTCGAAGGCATGATGCAAACAGCCCCCTCCAACTGAACGTGTTCTTTTGTGGCTTCATTACTTTGGACAGAGGGCTGTGTGGACTCTTTATCTAGCGTAGGTGCTGCCTGTGTTTCACCTCTGGTGCTTATGTTTTCTTGTTCCTGATCAGTCAACAGGACAGAGTTAGATTCAGGATGCTCTGGGTGTGTAGATGACGCATTAGGAAGACTGTTCCCCTTGACAGGGCTTTCAGGTTTCAGGCTTTCTCTGACCTGATACTCTAGGTTAAGACTGCTTGACTTTTCCTGCATTGTCCTCTTAGCAATCCCATCTTGATTTGAGGCATTTTCTTCTGTTTTCTGAGCACTGCGTTGCTCTGTTTCCAACATTTTCTCCACAGGCTGCATTGCGTTCTCTGCTACAGGAGGGTGGGGTTGTACCTTCTCCAAGTGACTCATCTCCACTGTATTTTTAAAGCCAGTTTTCCTCTCAGAACTGATGGAGTTGCTTTGGAGGGCTCCCCCTGAGGTCAGCAGGGAATTTTTCTCAAATAAATTCGGCTCAGCAATACTAATGCTTGGGGTCTGCTTTTTCTCACATTTGTTTTGTCCATTTTCTACTGTAGGGGGTTGCTTATCTTCTTTGAAGTCTTTTGTGGGAACAGAAGTGCCTTCATCAAATATTTTGCGATTGTGTGACCTCAGCAGAGCAAATATTCTAGCGTAGAATCCGGTGATAATCCCGAAGCAGGATACCCACAGAGGAAGCAGCACATAGAGACCGATGGTGTCATAGGAGAGGATTTTTCCTCGTTGACCTTCCTTGCACCTTGAATATACAGTGGGGTCTTTCAAAAACATCTGACAAAAAGCAGCCACTGAAACTCCCAAGATCCAGGTAAGAGGGATCAGCACCATCATCCGTCTTTTTCGTTGACTGGTTTTGAAGGGATTCGCAATTGCCTGGTATCTCTCTGCACTTATGCACCCCAGCGTCGACAGCTGGATGCAGCAGCTGAATGAGAACAAGGCTGTTTGTGTGTCACAGATCAGATGGTCCAAATGCCCTCTTCGGTGCAGGGTCACCATAACATGCAGTAGAACGGGGCAGTCGATAGTGCAGCGGAGGAAGTCCACCACAGCGAGATTCACCACTAACGCATTGACAGATGTTTGCAACGACTTCTGGTGACACACTGCCAGGATGACGAAAATGTTTGCTGCTGTTCCCACGACGGAGGTGATTATTAGAACAAAGCTGTTTGCCACCAGAAGGGCAAAGTCGATGTACACCTCCCAAACTGTGATGTTCCCAGAGCTCCCCGCAGGTGTGGGTGCCCCTCTCATCTCCAGGTTCAGAAAGTCAACATGTTCTGCTGTTTGGTGATGCTGATGGAGCAAACATTCAGCATGCCTCTCAGTCTCCCACCATCTCTAATGAATGAATAATGGGTGAAGCTGCGGCCTGGACGGCTTTCGCCAAAGTACCCGCCCTTTTCATTATCACTCTGCAGCACCAGTGGGTCACCTGGGAGTCCTCCCTGTTCACATTCATTAAAAACTCTGCAGTGTATTCACAGCGGAGACAACAGGGGTATAAAAGATGGCTGTTAATTGAAAAACAGTTATGTCACCATTGTGTCATCTGTGATATATATGACTTTATTAAATCAGTCAAACATTCTGGTTTAAAAAGATAATTCTACCTTGTAGAAACTCCTGGTGCTTCAATTCAGTCTTTAGGAGTCTTTCTGTACCATGTGGAGACTAAGACACATGTTCACTGTTTCATTGAGCTTTCGCTCAGCATTTGTTATAAGTTCTACCACGAGTATTTGCTTAAATATGAGTTCAGAATTCTACCGCTTGACTCTAACACTTGACTCTGCTTGATCTAAACTGCTTTTAAGGGTATGATCACCAGAACTCCCCAATTTTCAGGGACAGTTGTTGTGGATCACCTGTCCCTGTGAGACCCAGTGAGCATGATGCACATGGACACTGTTAAAGTAGCTGGTTTCTTTGCTGTTAAGGTAAAAATGGGGAACAGAGCGCACCACTTTTAAAACAGAAGAAGAAATTTATTTTTGTTTTACGCATTTGTAAATAAAATGACAAATAAATCTAAGTCTAACTCTAAGAAGTTCTTTTTCACAACCTGTCGCAACTGATGGGGAACCACCTTAACCTGACTCCGCCAGATGGATTTGCTCCGCATATCCATCTGGAAACCTTC